GGGGCACCCTGCCACTGAGCCATATCCCCAGCCCTTTTTATTTTTTTATTTTGAAACAGGCTCTCACTAATTTGCTTAGGACCTCACTCAGTTACTGAGGCTGGCTTCGAACTTATGATCCTCCTGCCTCAGCCACTGCAGCCAGCTGGGATTCATGGGATTTGAGGTGGTACAGATGAAAATGCTTAGCGAGAGAACAGAGTAGAAAGAGAAAGGGCCTGGGACCAGGGTCTGCAGCACTCCTCCAAAGTCCCTAAAGGAGGGAGGTTGAGCCTGCAGAGGAACGTGAAAAAGAATTACCAAGAAAGGAAGAAAAAGGGGGCCAGGGCTGCGGCTCAGTGGTAGAGCACTTACCTGGCATGCGTGAGGCACTGGGTTCGATCCCTGGCACCACATAGAAATAAACAAAGGACATTGGCACGCTGGAACACGAAGGAAAGACGAATCGGAACTGGTTGAGGTAAGTGAGAGAAGAGTTGCTTTGTGCTTTAATTGGATGGAACTGGGCAAGGCTTGAAGTGTGGCCCCACCTACCTGCTCTGAGAACTGAGCAGATCAATAATCTTATAACACCTGTAACCATCTATGGCACAGAAATGCAGATTGGCTCGGAATGGGGGCTCACTGTGGCTGTGGAATCAAGGGAAGAGTTGCTGGCTTGGTTTGATTGATTCTAAAATGAAAAAGACTTGACATCTTTCAGAAGCCGCTATGAAAAAGATCCAGTTGAAATGGAGTGATTGAATTCATGGGAGAGAAAATAGTAGAATAGTATTGGGAGTATAAAGCTTATTAGAAGGTGCAATAGAATCCACCAGGCATGGTGGCACACTCCTGTAATCCCAGCGGCTTGGGAGGCTGAGGCAGGAGGATTGTGAGTTCAGAAACCAGCCTCAGCAATGGCGAGGCACTAAGCAGCTAAGCAACTCAGTGAGATCCTGTCTCTAAATAAAACACATAAAAGCACTGAGTATGTGGCTCAGTGGTCAACTGCCCCTGAGTTCAATCCCCAGTACCAAAAAATAAATAAATAAAAAGGTGCAGGGAATGTAGTTCAGTGGTTAAGCACCCCTGGGTTCAATCCCTGGTACCAAGTTTTTTTAAAAAAGTATTAAAGAATTCAATTTCAGGTGGAGCAATGGACGTAAAAGGCACTGTGTTTGCAAAAACGTAATCCTCTCCACAATACTAAAGTGGGTGTCATTTATTATCATGTTAACAAATTTAAAATCTGAAGTTTAGTGAGATTCAGTCACTGCCCCAGGTACCCCACTCAGCAAGCAGCATAAAAAGGACTGCAATCCACATTTTTTCTGATTCTATCAGAAAATTCCTATCAATTATTACTTTGATGTATCTCGAACCTCATATTGTGCTCACCGTGGGGACACAAAGATGGATTACACTTGGTCCTTGACTTTGAAAAGACCACAGACTAGAAGTAGAGAAAGACAATAAAACAAATACCATGCAGTGTGATAAATAGAATAATGGAGACATGGGGGAATGCTTTAAGGAGCACAAAGACTATAATGTGCACGTCTTTTCCTCAACTCGTGGAGGCAGGGATAGATGGGCATAGAGAAGAGATTGTTTTTTTAAAAAAGTTAATTGGATGGAAGAAAGGTTGGATGGATGGTTGAATGGATGATTGTGTGAATAGGGAAAGAACTTTCAGTATTAATTGATTCCCTCCTTGGGGCAACTGTTGTCCATGTAGCCACAAGAGGGCGCTATAGACCTGACACAAAGTTTTCCCATTGACACCAGGTTAGAAGGAAGGGTGGGGACAAGAGGGAATGAGGGTGGTGACCACAGGCTTCAGATTCCTGCTCCTGCAGACCAGGCCCGGAGTTTTGTTTTTCACCCTACCCCTTCATCTTTCAAGCTCCTGAGCTAAGTTCTAGGCTTTGGGTAGATTTCTCCAATTGTTCTCTTTCCAGCCTATCTCAGAAATAGTCCAAGGTCTTTCTTAGGACATAGACTGCGTGTGAGCAATGTGGCTCCAATCCCAGCAGGCTGAACAGCGGAGTGCCCTCCCACAAATTACTTCATCTTCCTGGGCCTCACCAATACAAGCTCAGGTTGGGAGGGAGGGTCTGGTGGTGTGTGACTTCCTGACTCCCTCTTCCTTAGGAGGATAGCGAACCTTCCTCAAGCACTTCCTATTTGCCTGCCACTGCTCTAAGACTGTGGTAGCTAAGAATGTAACCACTAGCCACATGAAAATGATAAATTCAAATTAAATAAAACAAAAAAATTCAGTTCCTCGTGGAGCTGGAGCGTACCTCAGTGGTAAAACACTTGCCTAACGTGTACAAGGCCCTGGTTCCCATCTTTGACACTGTCAAAAAATAATAATAAAAATTTCCTTGGTCTTGGTAGCCAAGTTCAAGGGCTCAATAGCTACCTGAAGCCAAGAGCTACTGAAATGGACATCCCAGAGAGCATCTCCATCATCAGAGAGTTCTACCAGAGAGCACCAAGTGCTTCTCACATTCTTAGCCCATTTTACCTTCCTTACAACAATGCAGTATGTTTATTTATCCACTCTAGAGATAAGGACCCTGAGGCCCAGAAAGCTTTAAAAAATAAACTTAGCCAAGGTCTCTAAGCCGATTAGTATCCAGAACAAGGATTCAAGCTCAAGTGGTTGGCTCAATGCCCACCATGTGGCTTCTATGCCCAGAGCTGCCCCAACCCCAAATCTTGTGTGCTCCCCTTACCTCCTGAGAATTGGGATGACTTCTCTCATTGCCCAACAGCCATTGTTCCTCACAGTCACTGCCCTGACTCTCACCCTGAATAATGAGGGCGCAGAGCTTCAAGCCTCTGCTGGTTGAGACCTTGTGCTATGGTCCTCCCACCTCCTTAAATAGCCCCCTCAGCTCCCTTAGAATATCAGCATTATTGCTTGGGTCCCCCCCCCCCCTAATTCTTGATTCAATGTCAGCCTGGGTTCTGGAAGATTCCTAACCTGGGCAGCAGTCCCCGCTGCTACTTCCCAGGGTCATTGTCATCCCCAAGGGTGAATGCAGTCACCTCTGAATGTGCAGCAGCATCTCACTTCACAAGGGGTAGAGTAAAAGCCAGGCTGCAGTTCACACGCTCAGCTGCAGAACCCAGTGACTATAGAAGCAAACTGGGAAGGAATGTCTGCAAATCTGTGTGCAAACCACCGCTGGTGTTTGGTGTTTGCAAGCTAGACCTTTCATGGTCACACACACACACACCCCACTCCCCCACCCCGTCTTCTGCCACAGTTGCTACCCTGTAGGGCCTCCACTTCACCCACTGGGCCTAAAGCAGAACAAAGTTATCACTCAAATCTAAGAGATCTGTTGGCAAGAGACTGACAGAAGAAAAGAAATCGATGCTGCCATCTCTAGGTAAGAGGATGGGATTCCTATCCCGTTCCTTACTGCTTTACCTCTCTCCTGAGCATCTGAATCCCTAAAGAATGTTTCCCACACCCATCGAGTTCAGAATCTAGGGCAAGAAAACAGAGAATTTGCCCCCACTATTCCTGCCTTCAGCAATAAGCATGTCTATAATTGTTTCCTAAATATATGGAACTTCCCACTTAAAAGTTTTTCCAGGAAAAACCTTACCATCAGAAAGTTCTCCCTGGTACTTACCAGACTCCTCTATTTCACCTTAAACTCAAAATGTTCTATCTTCTATCCTCAAAGAAGATGGAGATGTATGACCTCCTTCTCGCTAAGGAACCATTGAGCCATTGAGTAGTTTATATTTTTTATCTATTATCAACAATGCTGCTCTGAACACTCTGTGCATGTCTTTTTTTTTTTTTTTATTGGGAGGTACAGTAGTGGGGACTGAACCCAGGGCCTTGCAAATGCCAGGCAAGTACTCTACTACTGAACTAAATCTCCAGTCCTGGTGCGTGTCTTTTGATTCCCACACTAATGCATTTCTGCTCCATTTATGGTCAGGAAAATGCTGGGTCATCAGGTATCCAGATGTTTAGGCCATTTTCCAAAGTGACTGTGACGATTTGGGGGTCTATGATGACGGGGAGTGCGTGGTGGGGAAAGGTGCTCACGGTAGTCCTTCACTGCTAGACCAGCTCCTCTGGTCACCTGCATGACTGACTGGCACAGGGAGAAGTGGAAAGAAGAGACAGACATGGATCTGAGAGAATGGATTTGATTCTTCAAACTGGGCCCAAGAACAAAGTCAGACCCTCCTTCCCCCCAACCCTCTGCCACCAAAACAAAGAAACAATGTAAGCAGAAAAGGGTCAATTTGAAGAGGGCTTTGGATACTAGGCACACACACAGCTTCTTTTTTTTTTTTTTGTACCAGGGATGGCTGGAAAACAGAGAAGAGGAGACGAGCATCCCACAATCCCCTTTAAGGGCATCCCCCGCAATGATCAATGACTTCCCACTAGGCCCCCCACTAAAGGTTCCACTACCTCCCCGTAGCACCACAGGCTGCAGACCAAGCCTTTAACCCTTGGGCCTTTGGGGTATTCCAGATCCAAGTATCGTAAAGCGGGACCTCAGAAAGCTAGAGGATTCTTGACAGAAGAGAGTAGGCTATTTCAGAGTTTCCGGTACTGTGCTGTCTCCCAAGCCAAGAGTGGCTGAGACCAAATTCCAGCAGTCTCGGGATCTTTCCAACAGGGACATCCCCCTGTCACATCTCATCTGGTTCCCTGATATGAGGTTTCTGAAGTCAGGAAAGTGTAGGGAAGCACTTATTAGTTATTTACCTGACTCCTGCATGCCTTGTGTTCAAGAAAATCAATTTATGTCATACACGTCAACCAAAGAAAATACCACTGTGAGCTTTTCAAATTTCTTCCCCACTTCCTCTATTAAGACTATCAAGCTGCGATACCACCCAGGTTAGAAGGGCCACCCACTCACCCTGGGCCTGAGAGCTAAGTGCTCTCCACCCATTTTCTCACACCACCCCCCATCCCCTGCCGTCTGACCTGCACTTCCTGCTCCGCAACAAGACAGGCAACCATGCTGCTCTGGACCACTGCGCTGTTCTTGGGTAAGTCACTGTACGTGGGCATCCCCTCCTGGGCACTGAGGACTGAAAGTCATTCCTGAGACACAAAGTTCTCGATCTTTCATTTCTCGAATCAAATGAGTTTGCAGTAGAAACTTGAAAAAAAGGTGCATACGTGCCAGGTTGCTTGGGGTAGATGGGCCTAGGCCCTGGGGACTCCTAAGTGTTTCCTGTCCCATCTTCATGGATCCTTGGCAGAGATGAATTAAGGAGGCAGAAAACCACATTCTGAGGTCCACTTGTTTCACCTGATTTTTATCCGGTAAAATCAGGTTAAAATATTCATCAGGGTTATGTCAAAAGGCAGAAGAAGTAAGAAAGGAAAGGAAGTTGCGGGATGGGGTGGGAGGCATTGGTGGAGAGATCAGAGAAATGGTGAAATAAGTTCCATGCATTTTGTTCAACAATGGGAGATGGGATTTTACAGGGTAACATAAATGCCTCTGCTTTCTTTAGTCCCATTTAGCAATGACCAGACTTCTAACTTGGTCAAAAGGTTGGTGTGCCAGCCAGGCGTGGTGGCACATGCCTGTGATCCCAGCAGCTCAGGAGGCTGAGGCAGAAGGATCACGATTTCAAAGCCAGCCTCAGCCAAAGTGAGGCACTAAGCAACTCAGTGAGACCCTGTTTCTAAAGAAAATACATAAAAGCACTGGGGATGGGACTCAGTGGTCAAGTGCCCATGAGTTCAATCCCTGGTACCAAAAAAATAAAAGGCTTGTGGGCCAAGTATCCAATGCCCTTTTCCAATTGACCCTTCCCTTTCTGTTTATGTCCTTTCTCTGTGTTGGTGGCAGAGGGTTGGAGGGTGCGGGTCTGACTTGTTCTTGGGCCCAGTTTGAAGAATCAAATCCATTCTCTCAGATCCATGTCTGTCTCTTCTTTCCACTTCTCCCTGTGCCAGTCAGTCATGCAGGTGACTAGAGAAGCTGGTCTAGGAGTGAAGGACTACGGTGGGGAGGGTCTCTGGTCTCCCCCAACTGCAGCCAGATCATCACACTACACATAAAAGACAAATTGTTCATTTATTTTTTTTTCCATTGATAGTTTCTGAATTGGCCTGCTTTTTAAAAACTTGGTTCCAATGGTTTGCTTGTTTATTTGCTGTGTTTACATGGATCCAGAAGTGCAAAGCTGTTCCTAAATATGAGCTCTTCCTGACAGAGTTTCTGAGAATTTAAGCCTGAGAGGAAAATGCCTATTCCGCCCACTGTTCTTCCCTCTCTGCCTCTTCAACATCACTGTGCTGCTCTCCGCATTCTATGAATGGCTATTTGGATGCATGAAAATGGCTAACACTCAGGCAGCTACAGGATAGCCCAGTACCTGGGTACAATCCAATGGAAGGTTTCCAAGGGCAAGTTGCATGACCTTGTAAAAGGAACAGCCCTTGGGCTGGAGTTATAGCTCAGAGGTAGATCACTTGCCTAGCATGCACAAGGTCCTGGGTTCAATCCCCAGAAACACACAAACACACCAAGTAAAAGAATAAAAAACAGTTTTTGGACTTATCTAGATAAAGTCCAAGAATGACCAGCTGACTAGCTCACACTGTAATGGAGAACCAAGCACAATCCGTTCACACTTGATGCCCAGAGACCCCAAAAAAAACAGTCTAAGTTATGTAACACAAGGCTGGACCTGTTAGGAACAGTTGCTATAACTGCAAAGCCGCTATTTCCTCTCGGATGTGGATAGAAAGGGAAAAAAAGAAAAAAAAAATGTCTACTTTGTAGTGCATGCATTTCATCTAACCTTCAGAACTTCATAGGGCAGTTATTTTTAACCTATTAAACAGTGAAGGAAACTGAGGTCCAAAATGCTTAATAATTACCCGGCAAACAAGAACAAAACAGTCCCCAAGTACATCTGATCTCAAACCCCACACTTTCTCCATTCCACCAATTACTCTACCTGTGGCCTAGAAGTAGTTGGATTCTAATCAGAAAAAAAATGAGAAAATACTAATTCATTTAATCCACCTGGCAGGGTGTGGTCACAATAATTGATGGTTATTACTGTTCTTGGCTATCAGGAATCCAGGAGGCTTGGGGCCCTGACATGGAACATGCTGGTTCATGGCCAAACATTAAATCTATAAACTTTGGGAGATGGGCCTTAATTTTCTTCTGAGCCAAGCATGAGACAGCTTTCCTCCCCTACTGGAGCCCACCTCCCATGTACTCACAGAGAATCCATGGCAGGGGTCATGGGGCCTCCACACAATCCTTGCAGCAACATGGAAGTCACCTAGCAAAAAAAATAAAAAGCATGTTCCACCATGGCAGAACTCAATCATTAAATAGTTCTTCACGTGAAGCTAAAATCTGCTGCCCTGATCCCTCTAATTTCTATTAGCCTCATTTCTGTCCTGTGAAGTAACTCAGAAATAAACTTGGCTCACCAAATGAATAAAGACCACTATTGTGTCCCTACTCTATTACATCTTCTCCAGATTAGTATCTCCCAGCCCCTCAGCAACTCCTAACAAGTAACGATTTCTAGACCCCTTTCCTCATCCTGCCTTGTCTTGACATGCTTTCTCAGTGTGCAGGAGCTGGACTTTCTTCTCCCTCCCATAGTGGACTAATAATGCAGAGCTTAGGAGGCTACTGCCTCCACCGTTTGAGACTCTGAAATGCAACAATAGCTCTTGACCACTTTATCACACTGTCACCTTACCTATCAGTCATTAGCTTAGATTCCCACACCTTCTTCATAGGAACTACTATGAGCAGATATGTTAGTCAGCTTTTGTTCTGGCCAAAATACCTGACAAGAATTACTTAGAGTGGTCTCAGTCCATGACCAGCCGACACCATTGTTCTTGGTCTGAAGTGAGTCAGAACGTCATGGCAGAAGGGCAGGGCAAAGGTGCCACTCAGCTCATGACAGCCGGGAAACAGAAAGTGAGGAGCCAGGGACAACACATCCAAGGGCACACCCCCAGGGACTTACTTCCTCCAGTTATGCTTCACCTGCCTATAGTTACTCCCCAGTCGATCATTCAACTGTTAATGAATTAATCCAGCGAATGGATTTATCCACTGATGAGGTCAGAATCCTCATCATCTGAAAGCCCCACCTCTGAACATTGCGGAACTGGAGATCATGCTTCCAAAGCATGAGCATCTCAGGGGACATTCCAGATCCAAATCACAGCAGCACACACCATCCATTCTCTATGTTCCTAGTTGGCTGCTGGCTTGATTACAGAAAGCAATTCTGCCATCACAACTCCAAGGTCCTGCAGTGCCATGGGGCAGCAAGTCATCAGGATTCAAACGAGCTCATCTGAAGTGGCTCTATGCTCTCTGGTTACCTTCTTTCTTGTTACAGGCTTTGGTAACCTCAACCCTGTTTTTGCAGCACTTTGTAGCTGCAAAATTGTTTTCCGAAGAGGAAGGGAAAATGGGGGAGTCATAACTACAGAATAAGTCCTCAGTCACTCTGAGTTCAGCCTCCTTTCTGCTTTTCAATAATGTTACAACCATTTTCACAGGCAGTGGGTCACGGCAACCTTCACAACCGTCCTATAAGAAAAAAGAATTATCATTCCCATTACATATGATTTGACAGACCAGGAATTGGAGGCTCTTGGAATTTAAACTTGTTGGTGGGGGAGGAAGTGGGTGCTGGGGATTGAACCCAGGGGTACTTTATTAGTGAGCTACATCCCCAGCCCTGTTTGTTTGTTTGTTTGTTTGTTTGTTTAGTGGTTCTGGGAACTGAGCCCAAGGGGTGCTTTACCACTGAGCTACACCCCCACCTCTTTTTTTTTTTTTTTTTTTTTTTGAGATAGAGTCTCTCTAAGTTGCCTAAGCTGTCCTCAAATTTGCAGTCTTCCTGCCTTAGCCTTCCAAGTTCCTGAGATTACAGGCATGCATCATTACGCCCAGCAGAATTTAGACAATTTGTCCAAGGTCGCACAAAAAGAGGCAGATTCATGAGTTCAGCCTATGTCATCTGCTTCCAAATGCATGATTTCTACTACAACAAGAAAAAAGAGACATCCAGTTCTATATAGGAACTGACACTAAACTGAATTTAAAAATCAAGTTAAAGGGCTCCATCTGTATTCAAAATAGTGTGGACAGCATGAGTGGTAGCATAGTGATAGTGGGTTTAAGATACCCCTTCCAAGACCATTCTTGCATTTCTCAGTGTCCTAGGGCCTTGGAGAACCTAAGACATGTCAGCAATGAAAGACACAAATAGACTTCACTTAGCCCCACAATTATTCATTGTTTCATCCCTTGTCCCAAAGTCCGGCTTTCTTTCCAACTATGTCCCTCAATTTGGGGTCCTCCATCCCTTGAGTTATTCATACCCATCTTACTGTAATCTGTCCTCTTATAACTTAGCCTCTCTTCCCAGATCATCTATTCTCCTCAAACATGCAGGCCTTTAGGACAGGCATGGTGGGGCATACCTGTAGTCCCAGTGACTCAGATGGCTGAGGCAGGAAGATCACAAGTGCAAGACCAACCTTAGCAACTTAGAAAAGTCCTCAGCAACTTAGTAAGACCCTGTCTCAAAGTTTAAAAAAAAATAAAATAAAGAGGACTGGCATTATGGCTCAATGGTAAAGCACCCCTAGATACCCAGTACCCACAGCGCACGTGCGCGTGCACACACACACACACAAAATTAGGCATTTGAAACACTAATACAGTGTTCAAGGTACAAGCATGGTCTGAGATACATCTAGGTCATTTGTAGTTCTCTCATTTATCTGAGCTGCCTGACCATGTCCCACATCTTTAATGATTGCTCCTTCAGAGAACCTTCCTCCTCAATCTGATCGCTTCCACACTCTTTCCCAGAGCTCTGTGGACTTATTGGGGAAATGGGATCTGGCCTTGGCATATGGGTTCTAGTTCTATATGCATAGGCCCTTCTGCCCCTTACTGCAAGAGTCTAGTCCTATATGTTCTACTTTTTTGATCCCTATCCCACACAACTGGTCACAAAGGAGAGAATTCATGCATTTATTTGACAAATGCTTACAGAATACAGATGATGTTCCAAAAAAAGGTCCTGGGCATGAGGAACATGAAGATAAGCAAAGTCCCTTCTCACATTCTAGACAGAGGAAGATAGGTGATAACATGCTGGCAACTTAACCAAGAAAACCAATTCAAATACTGATAAGCACTCTGACGACAGTACAATGGCACATCATCACAGTGACCGGGGAGAACGATTTTGACTGTGGTCCCAGGGAAGACCTGTCTGAACAGGCAACATTTGAACTGAGATAGGGCAGAGAAATTCAGGGAGTGGACTCATCGTAAACAGTGATTGGTTAAATGTCTTGGGTGGGTGAGTGGTTGGGTGGCTAGCTGGGTGACTGGGTGTCTGGGTGACTGGGCGGTAAGTGATTGGGTGGCTTAGTTGTTGGGTGTCTGAGTAGTTGGGTGGCAGCATGACGAGGTGTTAGGGTGGCTTGTTGGCTTAGTGACTGGGTGATCTGGTGGCTGTGTGCCTAGGTGGCTTGATGGCTGGGTGTCTGGGTAGCTAGATAGCTGGATGGCTTAGTGGTTGGGTGGTTCAGTAGTTAGTTGGGTGGTTGATTGACTATGGACATAAGCAACCAATGAAGTAGAGGCCTCCCAGTATGAAAATTCTGATATTTAATCAAATTTTATCATTTTTCCCTCTAGCAGTTTCCTGTGTTGGAAATAATGGTAAGTCTTACCCACGTCTTTTCTGACCCCACATATGTCTCTGACCCAACACTTAATGAATGAAGATGGTGCAATTAGGTCCCCCAGCAGCAACGCAGAGCAGCACCACATTAGGTCCCTTCTTCGGGATTCTTGGATAGTGTCCAGAGTGAGAAGAAACCTGACTCCATGGGCCAATGTTAAGGGAAGCCCTATGGCAACTTGAATCTCAACAGAGGGCTCTGAATCTCCTTCCTAGTCCCTTAAAAGTGGCTCTGGCCTCTCTCTCTCTCTCTCTCCTCTCAGTGTGACTCTGAAACTCCTGTATTCTCTACTCAACAAGACATGACTCCCTTCTCTCCTTTTTATATTAAGAGAAGTGGGCACTTACGTCCATCCATCCATCTTCCCTGCCCTCCAGCCCATCCTGTCCCAAGGGCCTCCATGGCATTTTATGTCAAACAGGAAAAAAAATGACCCATGAACATCTTGACCTCCAAGGGCATGTTCTGTGGTTCAGGGGAGAGACTTCAAACTAATACTTAGAGCTGATAGAAAGAGGAGTAGTGGGGAAGCAGGGCCCATCCTTTAGGAACACTGTGAACATCCCTACTTTGCTCCTGGGGTGGGAACAAGGGGTCCTAAGCATCCAGGGAAATCCAGGCCAAAGCAAGATGTGCTGGGGCTCACCTCAGGACCCCCTGTTTGATCACTCATCATTACTCTCAGGCCATTAGTCCTGGTTCCTAAGACCGTCTGGGACTAGTGGGTATCTGGCCTGATAAAGAGGTACAGCCTGCGGACAGGCCCAGCCTAGTATGTACTGCAGATGATGCCTGATCCCTCATCTTCTCTTGTCCGTGTCAGGCCACAGAATGTATTCTAATAAGAAAAGCAGAGAGAATAAATCTCTTCCATGACTGCTGGAAGATGAAGCCCCCTCCTGAGGATGGGCCTGGGGAAGCCTGACCAGGAAAGCAGGAGGGAGAAAACCCAGGCCACAGCACCTCTAACACCCCACGCCACCAGCTCCTCTCTGGTGGGCAGGGATGCAGCTCTTACCAGCCGTGAAGGCTGCAGAAAGTGTCACATTGCGGCAGCTGGGGACTAAAAAGCCAATCAAAGGAAGTCGAGATTGAGACAGAAGGTCTGAGGCAAGACAATGGGTGACTGAGCCAAACTTTTCAAGGTGGTAGAGGAGAATGCAACACGCAAGGAGAAAAAGAGTGTGGGAAGGAAGAAAGCCAGAGAGAAAGGAGAAAGGGGAGGGAGAAAGGAGAAGAATAAAGAAAGGCAAGAGGAAGGAGAGAAGAAGAAAAAGACGTCAAGGTCCTGCCGGGTCTGCTCTGGCCGGACTGGAGAACCGAGAGCTAGCAAGGGCAGGGAGGTCTTAGCTGGGGATGAAGAGGGGGAAACTGGGCTGACGGACTGCAGCCCCAGGGATGACCCTGTGCCTGTGTCTCCCAGTCTGGCTGGACCTTCAGTTCCTGCCGGACCCTGTGTTTGAAGGAGAGGTCTTGACTCTGAAATGCCAGGGATGGATGCACACACAGCTGTCCCAGGTGACGTTCTACAAAGATGGAAAACCCCTCAATTGCTCTAAGAACCACCAAGTTTGCTTCATAGAGACAGCAACAGTGAAAAACAGCGGCCAGTATAGCTGCAAAGGACAGAAGACGTATACCACACGCTGGCTCACGTACACCTCAGAGGCCATCAGGGTTCAAGTCCAAGGTGAGTCACCACCTCAGAGGGGTTGGTGGGGCAGTAGGATGCTGCTCAGGGATCCAGTCTCTAGAGGTCAGTAGCCCTCTGGGCAGGACTTCTCTCTCTGACTACCCCTGATGTGGGGCCAATGCTTGGGGTCCCAAGGGTTCATGATGGTGTCTAAATGTCCTCCTCACCCCCACGGGCCATGTCTGGAGCCAGGGGAAGGAGGGTGAATTGGAAAGAGGCCTGGCCCCGCTTAGTCACTCGTTCTTTTTCTCTGTGGACCAGATGACTGCTAAGGGGCCTTCTGGCTCTGACTCCTGGGACTCCAGAGGGCTTGCTTGGCTATGCGGGAGTTGTTCCAGAGCTTGTGGGTGGGGACAAGAAGACAGGTCCTGGGGATGGAACTGTCTCCCATCTGGGTCAAGGAGCTGCAGCCTGAGCTCAGTCCTTGGCCTCCTAAGCCTCATTGTCCAGGACTCCCCTCCTGAGCCCTGGGCCTGTGTCTTCCCAGAGCTGTTCCTGCCTCCTGTGCTGAGTGCCATCCCCTCTCCTGAACTTGGTGAGGACAGCCCATTGACCCTGAGGTGTCAGACAAAGCCGCATCCCCAGAAGTCCACCTGGCAGCTCTTCTTCTCCTTCCATAAGAATGGCCACATCTTGCAGGAAAGGAGTCTCCACCCAGAGCTCTCCATCCCAGAAGTGAAGGAGAGAGACTCTGGGCTTTACTGGTGTAAGGTGGCCCTTGAGGGTCACAGGGTCCAGAAACAGAGTCCTCCGCTGGAGATCAAGGTGCAGGGTAAATGGGTGAGGGAAGGGGCGACAGTCCCCAGGGTTCCAGGCGTCAGGCAACAGGACCCCTTGGGAGTGGGGGAGGGTCCCACGGGAGGAGGGGCCCTGGAATCTGACAGTCAGGCTGACTTTTCTACCCCATGTGCTTTTCTACCCCATGTGCTTTTCTACCCCAGCTCCTGTGTCTCGTCCTCTGCTCACTCTGCAACCCAGGGCTGCTGGCCTTGCTGTGGGGGACGTGGTGGAGCTCCTCTGTAAGGCTGAAAGGGGCTCCCCTCCCATCCTGTACTCGTTCTATCTCAATGGGGAGATCCTGGGGAACTACTCAGCTCTTCACGGGGAAGCCGCCCCCCTTCGCTTCCTATTGAAGTCAGAGCAGGACGCTGGGAACTACACCTGTGAGGCTGAGAACATTATCTCCAGAGCCAGCAGTAGGCCTGTAAAGCTCTCTATGAATGGTACGTTTTGTCCCCAAACCAGGCTCTGAGCCCCAGAAACCTGGCAAGAGTCTGATCACACTCTTCTGTGCACTTCCGATCACACCCAACACAATGATGGGCTCAGGGCAGGCTCTGCATGACTGAGATGAGCCCCAACAGAAGGAACTGTCCACTGAACCTGGCAGGGAGTGGGGGACCTTGTTTGGCGGGGGGTGGGGGAGGTTATATGGTCACCCATGACACTACCTGATTATACAGGTATCCTCTGAGCCATCCTTCATTCCCCTCCCAAGGCTCCCCGGGACCATATGTTTCCCCTAAAGTCAATCATTCTGCCTCTTTCTGTGCCAGTCTGGGTTGCATTTCTGAAATTCATCCTCAATGCTCGTGGTCACCTCTCCTCCCTCCTCCCCCAGGTTCTCAAGACATGTCCACCTTTATCAGCAGCAACCAGCTGGTTGCCTGGCTCCTTGCATGTGTGCTTGGCCTGATGGTCATTGCTGCTGGACTTCTAGCTTATTTCAGACCTTGGAGGAAAGCTGGTTAGTAACTCTTTGGGTTTTCTGCATGGCTGAATCCCTAGGCCAGGCACTGCCCTGCCTTTGAGAAGCCAGCACTTGACAAGATCAGACACTCTCTTCTCTTGAGTGTTGGGTGGGAGGAGGGATTTCTCTTCCCATGTCATACAAAAGAGCACATGGAGGTACACATATAGCATCCAGAACATACGCACACACACACAGACACTCTATCTCACATGCCCACAGGCATACAGAGAGGCACAATACACACGGTTGAACATTAGCATGAACAGAAGCACAGATGAAGGGATTCTTCCAAGCCAAATGTGATGTATATCCCTGTCCTTCGCATTAAAAATATATATATATATTTGTGGTCATAAATATGACTGAAAAGAAACCAAGGCCTCCAACTCTCATTAAACTCAGCAGAGCTCTGGTGAGCTAATAGAGCAGAATGAAAAATGAGATCTACAGTGCATATGTGCTCGCTCTCTCTCTCTCTCTCTCTCTCTCTCTCTCACACACACACACACACACACACCTTGAATAGTGTTGTTCATGAATATTGACTCATCTAAAATGAAACATGACAGAGAGGACTGAGCAAAGGCCTGATCCCAACACGGCTGTTTACTAGTTCCGTAGCCTTAGGCCAGTTCGTTCTAAGACTCACTAAACCGTCTTCCTCTCAGGGATGTTGTAAAGATGTAAGTTAATGAGACAAGGTGCATCTCCTGCCTAACATGTTTGATTGGCAGGTAGCAGGTGCTTAGCAAGTTCTCGTTCCAGTCCGAGCAGTCGACCCCAGCAGGTTCCACAGGCTGCCCTTTCTCCTGCTGTTCGTTTTCTAGTTCCTCTAATCCAGTTCACTAAAAATCAAAGGCTTGGTTAAAGTTCTGACATTGAGGATTCTATAGAGAAGGAGTGAAAATAATCAGAGACGTGGAATTCAGAGGTCACCTATTAATTTTGATATCCCAGATTCCTCTTCTTCCTGTCCTGGTGATGATAATGAAGCCTGTGACGAGCATTGGCTTTCAGAACAGTCACTTTGGATGACTACATGTTTATCCCAACTCGTCCGCGTTCACTTCAGGTCACATTTAAAGGAATAGGTATCAGTGCCAGAGATGTTTGGTGCCAGTGTGTTCCTAGGGCTTTACCTCTGCCTACAGGGGTTCAAATCAACTCTACTTCCTCCTCCACTGGGGCAATGTTCCTATTTTCTACTTGTCTAGGGCAAAGCGAAAGCTCTCATAGACCTCCAAAGCTAGATTTACTTATTCAAGCGTTCAGCTCCCACTGTTAAGATATGAGTGAGAAGTTGTCTCAGAGCAGAGCCACCCAAGGTGATCAAGGAATACCACCCAGTCATTAATCCAAAGCTGTCCTTGACCGTCAACCAAGTTATCTGCAAGGTGCTCTCCCCAGCCCCAGTCTCTCGCCTTAGCAGTTAGGGTTTGAGCTATCCTTCAATTTCCTCTCTCCTTTTTAATGTTCTCATCAGTTCACAGTTTTTACCCACCCAACAGCAGGAGAAAGGGCACTCCTTCCCACTAGTCTTAAGTCTGCAGGCTAGATTTGCTTTCAGGTATCTCTATAAGGTAGGAGAAGGTGGAGACCCAGAACTGGGTGGGGAGACTGCTGGACCAAGGGACCACAAACTAAAGATCTGTGAGTCCCACCATCCCTGCCTCTGTAAGAAAGCCTCCCCAACGGCCCAGCCTGGCCTCAGTAACACAGGCATTTCTGTCCACTTATCTCTGGAGCAGAGTACTAAAGGCAGGTAACCTATACAGCCACCTCCCTCCCCAGCCCCAGACAAGACAGTGGGGGAGCAGACACGCTCCATTTTACAAAGGGACCCATCCCTCATGCAAAAGGACTCCTGGTGGTGCTCCTGATATCTCAGATTCTCAGGAACACAAAATACACTTTAGAACATTACTCAAAAAGCCACTTTCAGCCCCAAGTCCACAGCCACACAAGAAAAAAAAAAAAACAGTCATTTTAACAGCTTTATTCTTCATACCCTCCTCTACAAGACTCTCAGCTATTTCCAGATAGCATATCCATTGCTCAACAACAAAAGCCACAAACAAAACATCCAAAGGACTGAATGTCTGAAGGCAGTTTTTCCAAAACATATTGACCGATGATGGTGTCATTGTCACGTACGAGTACACTTCAAAGCAGCATTCACCCACATGTTCAAGTTTGGGGTGTTTGTTTAAAAGTGTTCATTTTACTACTTGTCACACCTCCCATAAAACAGAGTTCCATCCAATTCATGGAACTCTTCATTGGAGGGAGACTCAGAATCACAGCCCTGGCAAATGAGCATTAAGGGAAGTTTAATAACCAGGGCCCCGTCTGAGTCGCCATAAATGCCCTCTTGGTTTTACAGGAGGGTCCTTTTCCACAGGTCCTACCTGGTGACTGTGGTGCCTTCTTGATGTTAGAGCTAATGAGCACGTCTCGGGCGCTAGGCATAAACCAAGTGTTCTGGAATCCACAGGTGACACAGTTCCTGCCCTAGCAGTTAATTTTCCATTCTGGAAACATCTACTCTCTAAAGGCAGAATGCCAGGGGAGAAAAAAGCATACAGACCTAGCTTCTGATTTCCCCAATGACTGTGACCTTGAAGAAGTCACCTGTGTCAGCCTCAGTCACCTCATCTATCAAATGGAGATAACAGTATCCACCTTTGTGAGATGATTATAAACAATACCAAGCATCAAAGAATTAGTAAGGGAGACTTTTGGAAGTCCAACTATGTGCTGGTCACTGGGTGAAGTGCTTTAGTATGAAGGAGACATTTTACATGACATTCCCAGTCCAGGGTCTGGCACATAGTATGTGGTCAACGTTATTAGCTTTTCCTCCTTCCCAAAAGCAGCCTAGCTTGTGAGTCTGGGCCCTTTCTGTACAAGGGTGTGACCCATTCTTTCTGACCCTGCTTCCTCCAGTTGGTGATTCCCATGGAGCCATCCTACCCTCTAGGGTATTTTTCAAAAGAAACATCCCATAAAAATCAATCATGTCCAGACCTGTGAATTAAGCCTCATAAACAAGCCAGCCGCAGGCCTCGGGCAGCTCCACCACCATCCTTCTCACAGACTTTCTGTCCCCACTCTTGCACCTGCTCTGTGAGGGAGGCTCAGGAAATTGTGCCTGTGTGTCTCCTAGGGACCCTTGGATCCCGGAATCTACCCTCAGCTCCAGGAGGAGAGCAGTGCCCGCTGTATGCAAATGGTAAGGACGTCTAGCAGGACCACCATCTGTCCACCAAGTGGAGAAGGCCCTCTTGTTGATGTAGGAGGTCTCCCTGAGCCCAGAATTTTCCAGAATCGGAGTCATCTGGGAAAGGAAGATGACAGCTTCAAGGGAGAGTTTGAGGAACGAGTGATGTGGAGCTGGTGATGGGAGAGGGAGGCAGAAAGGGAGCCAGGACTCCAGGGAAGAAGGCAAGGAGGGTTTAGACCAAAGGTCAGCAAACCACGGCCCATGGACCAAACCTGGCCTGCTGCCTGTTTTTGTAAATATAAAGTTTTATTAGAACACAGCCACATTCATTTTTTTCTTACATATTTTATAAAGCTACTATCACACTATAAAGTTGAATAATTGCAATAGAAAAGATACAACCTAGGCTGGGCTTGTAGCTCAGTGGTTGAGCGCTTGCCTCGCATGCATGAGGCGTTGGGTTCGATCCTCAGCACCACATAAAAATAAATTAATTAAAAAAAGATATTTAAAAAAAGAAAGAAAGAAAAGATACAACCCACAAAGCCTAAAACATTTACTGTTTTTTCATATAAATGTTTGTCAACCTTTGGTTTAAACAGGCTAGGAAAACTGCTAAAGTCTGTTGAGGGGGGCAGGCACCTGACAGGATGAATACCCCCACATTACTAATAGATCTCCACAGCTAGTTATCACCAGGACAAAGCCCCTGACTGGATTCCCTCTGTAAGTGTCTTCAAGACACTCACGGCTGGAGGTGGGAGAGTCAAGTAAATCCCGTTGAAACTTCCTTCCTTCTTCCAGTACATTACCAGAAAGACAAAGGTGAAAATGTTACCTACTCTCTGGCGCATACAAAGAGGAAAGAAGGTGAGTGTACTGTGGCCAAGCTTGGAAGTCCTGGGACTAGGATGCAAGTGTGTAATTATTCCCATTACCACCACCAGTACTACTGTTACCAACACCACCTCACTAACCACCACCATCCCCTTATTCATTACCACCATCACCATGACCACCAGCACAATCATCATCACCACCAGTTTTGCTACCATCATCAATATTACCATAACCACCACCAGCCTGTCCTTCACTATCGCCATCACTACCACTTTCCATCAGGACTACCATCAATCCCTCCCTCACTACCACCAGCGTCACTTTCATCACCATCACGACCATCTTCACCACCATCACGACCACCACAAACTCCTTCACTACAATCATCCCCTACAAACCACCACTCTAATAAGTCATGTAAACTCTCCGAGTCTAATCTATAAAATGAGGACAATGTCTAAAGACTACTAGAAGTTGTTAGGAATAGAACCTGGGTTGTAGAAGTCAATCTTAAAAATTGGCATGTAACAGATGTTCAAAGCCAGGAAATTGTTTGTTGTTGTTGTTGTTGTTGTTGTTAATTGCTCACCTGTTCTAATATTTTGATTCCTGGTCTATAAAAATGGTTGGACTCAGCCTCTCCTTCCCATGAAGGAGACTGCGGGGAATGGACAGCCAAGGTGTCTCAACTCAGGGATAATTCTCCAGAACCTATCTGGTTACTGCCCAAAGCATTGCCAGAGCATGAGAAGCAAACACAGACCCAGTTCTTTCCTGATAAGAGTTACAGTGAGCCAGGCATGGTGGTGTATGCCTGTAATCCCAGCAGCTCAGGAGGCTGAGGCAGAAGGATTGCAAGTTCAAAGCCAGCCTCAGCAACTTAGCGAGGCACTTATCAACTCAGCAAGACCCTGTCTCTAAGTAAAATATAAAAAAGGGCTGGGGATGTGGCTCAGTGGTCCAGTACCCTGGGTTCAATCCTCAGTACCAAAAAAAAAAAAAAAAAAAAAAAAAAGAGTTACAATAAGGACCTAAACATAAGAAAGAAAAAGGAACCCCCCAAATATATGGTTTTCATTGGCAAATTAAGGAAAATCTGACCACTTTTAACCCTAATAGGAAAACAAAGGGTAAAGGCATGATTTGAGGGCTGAGGTGGGGTTGATGATCGGCTTCCAATTCATGCCTCCCCTAGATAGGCTTCCTTGATGTGTGGGATTTGAAACTTAAAATAAGGAGAGGATATTATATTCCAGGATGATTAGGAAATATGCCACAGGATCTCTTATCAATGAGAGAATCTTTGTAGTTTGTAAAGACTCACTCTGTACCTACAGTTCCTAATTCAACCAAAAGTGACAGATTTCTCATCCTAATATGAAAATGAATTCATAATCCCTACTTTGCAAGATTAACGTGAGGTTCCATATAATAAATATGATCTTCATACTTCAAAGGTTGCCAGTTATACAGTAGGAGTCTAATATGGTGGTTATTTTAAAGGCATTTTTAAACTTTCATCTCTTTTGAGTCTCATTATAACCACTGGCCATCATGAGGAAGTTATTATTAACTTTTGTTGTTGGTGGTGGTGGTGTTGGCCTGGGGCCACACAATTGGTGAGGGTCAGATTAGGACTAGAACCCACGTCTCCCAATCCCTACCTAGTTCTGTCTGTTTTCATATTGAGTATAAGTTAAAAATGTGATCTCCTGGGCTGGGTTTATGCTGTCTGGAGGAAGAGAGATGGCATGGAGGAGGTGGGGAGGAGATGTGTTTCTGAGCATGGGTGCCCTGACCTGAGTTCCTCTGTCCCCCACAGCCAGGCCTGTGGAAAAGTTCACCTCACAGAGGTGAGGCAGATGGATCCCTGCTCTTTCCCTGCCCTCTGTCTTACATCTGCTTCCTCATCCTGATCCAGCACTCCCACAGGACAATTCTACCTACACAGAGATGACACACTCTCGGTCCAATAAACGTCCTGCAAAGTATTGAATCCAAGAAGCAAGACACACCAAGATCTCTTCGGTGACTGCAAGGATGTTCTCTACCAGTGATGGCATCCCCTCCCCCCAGCCTATACCCATACACAGCCTCCAGTGCTCCCCGCGCAGTCAGTGGTCTGTAGTAGGTCCTCTAGTTCCTGAGTCCAGCAGTGAAAGAGTCCCTGGGCCCTTATACTGGTCAGAAACTCCTGAATTGTGGGCTCCCCTCTCAACAGAAGGCCATCAATGGTGTGGGAAGGGACATCCCCTCCAGTACACACATTTAGGTTGCAGAAGTGACACTGGACACAGCCACAGATGTCTTATTTCCACACAAGTGAAAAAGTTTCCTGAGAGAAATATTATATACACAGAGAGAGAGAGAGAGAGAGAGAGAGAGAGAGTGCTCGAGCATGAATTCGTCTTGACCCTGAAAGGAAAAAGCATCAATCTCCACATCCCAGAAGACTGGTCCTGGGGCAGGCAGCTCTGTAATGAATTTTAAGCTGCTGCCAAGAACCATGAGTGACCACAAAGCTAAGGAGCCTCTCCGAGGTTCAGCAAGACCAAGGTCAGCCAGGAAAGTTTCTGGCCCAGATACATCATAGAATTCTTGACAACGGGGCCCAGAGCCCTCCAGGTACCAAGGACTCTGCCTTTACCTGCAGCCCCATTTCTGTTCCTAGCCCTTCCAGTTCACCAAAGACAGAACTGAGGCTGGCCCAGAGCCCCTGTGTGAGCCCCTTACTGGTTTAAAGAGATACGTGGTTGTAAAATCCATTCTGTTAATAGAAATATATCAATTCATTTTGTATTGTTCATCATTATCCGTCGTTTGCAATGCCTGACAGTGTGGTTTGGTTTGTTCAAGGAGTTCGCACTTCTTGATTCCTGAGAGTGGTCAAGGGTTAGTTACACTTGTTCCTGCAAGGCCCTGGCCTGGCTTCATAGGCTCCTGCTGTTGGAATTGCAGAAAGCAAAGTTCATCTTACAGATGGAGACTACACCAGACCCCCACCTTCACTGCCTGTGAAGGAGGCATCAACTTTATCAGAGAGCTCTGGGCTCTTACATCTGAGCTACTAATTCCGTGTCCCTGGGACAAGCAGCATTGACATCACCTGGGAGCTAATTAGGAAGGCAGCCACCCAGATCTCCTGAATGGGAATCTGCATTGCAACAAGATCTCTAGGTGATGTGCATGCAGATTAACAAGATAGATTCTGGAAGTACATCCACTCACTCATCTTTGGGTGCTAAATTACCTGTGGTTCTATTCCAAATGAAGACAGAGAGACTTAGAGCTAGTAAGACAACCCATTTTTTTTTTTTTACTTCTATCTCCTTTCCTCCCTCCCTCCTCCCACTCCATCCTCTCAACATCTTCATCTTCCTCTTCCTCATCCTCCTCCCTATCTCTCTCTCGTTGCCTGTCCAGAACACACTCCCCTTTTTGAACAATCAGAGATCCTGCTGGGAGGACAGAGGAGCACAAGCCAGATAATCTAGAAGCACAGGGTCTTCGTGGGTCAGCTGGGATGCACCCACAGAACCCCAAGCCTTTGCCACACCCTCTATGGAAGAATCAACCCCTTATAAAAAGCCCAAAAGGAGCACATGTCAGGTCATGAAGGGAGACACCGATGATGGGGAGCAGGAAGGAACCAGCCCTTCCAGTTGACCCATAGACCACAGACCACCTCCATCCCGAGGTGTCTTGCCTTTCCCCACCCTGCCCCCAAACAGCAGCACTACACAATATGTGACCCCCAAACTGGTGCCAGTCTGTAAATTGCTTTTTTACTAGTCCAGGACAAGATAAGCAGAAAAATTACAGCAAGAATTTAGAAACTTTTATAGCAATCTGACAGAGTAATTTTATGTTTGTTTAACACAATCATAAAAAATTAGGGCTCGTCTTTTGTATGCATGTCTTTTTTTTATTTCATTTTTCTAGTAATTTGCTTTTATTGTATTCTACAAAAAGTATAGGTCCACAATGGATTGGAAATATAAAAGAAAAACGGGTTCTTCAGCGAAGACAGGTCAGAAGCCCTATCTACACACCCACTCACACATCTCTTATTCTCTCGCACACACACTCCCCTGACCTGGCTGCCCAGGCACTTGCTCTCTCCCTAGAATCTCTCCCCACCTCCAGCTCTACTTGCACAGCTGACAACATCATTTTCCCTTAGTTTAAAAAAGAATGAAATGGAATTTTCCAAAATGAACCATTACAAAGAAAACTGAAGGGGGGGGGGGGAAGAACACAGAGAAAGTAGAGTTTTCAGAGACGCACGCTTTTCAGCCCAGACTCTTGCTGGCTTGTGGGTTATCAGCACACCAGCCCCCCCACCCAAGCCCCGTTCCCAGCCTCAGATGTGGGAATAGGAACCTGCTTCTGATCCTGGAGGATGCTGCGGAGCAGGCCAGAAGGGCCCCGGGGGAATGGGACATCCACAGTTCTCTAGGGACTGGACCCTGCTGATACTGAGGAAGGGCAAAGAGGAAACCGGAAAGCACTGCCTGCCGCAGGCTCCAGACCACAATGGTCAGGAAACTGTCCATCCTCCTCCCTGCCTTCTTCAGGCTGTGACATATTCTTTTTTTTCTCACCAAGTCAGAACTAAATGCAAACACTTTTCTGAGTGAGTTGGCTGTGACTTTTCTAGAGATCTGGGATATCTGAGGTCACCTTACCTAATGGACAAGAGAAAGGAAAGCAGAACTCAGTGGATGCTTGAGGGTGGAGAGGCACCCTGGACATGCTCCTTAAGAGAAAGACAAACGCACAGCTGGGAGCCTCGTATCGCCCTCTAGTGGCCCTCTCTGGTAGTCAGGGACTTACACACCAGGGTCCACCCAGGTCTGACCCACTCCTTGGACAACTTCATTGTTAGACACAAGCTGAAAACGGCCTCCTAAACCAAGAGTAGCACATGCATTTGAATTTCTTCAATTCCAGGTTTGTTAGTTTAGATCTGGCTAGGAACTAAGGTCCACGTTTTTTATTTAAATAAGCATCCACTTAACAGTTCTGAGTCTTTCCTCTTTGTATTAACTTTGGCAATGTTGACTACTGACAGACTGTACAGCATGGAAAGAATCCAGTGTGGGAGTATTTTATGTGCTGCCACATATTCTGGAATACCTGCAGCTGCCCAGACCCGGGCTCCTACAGCAGGCATTGGTCCCCGTGCCTATACTCAGAGGAATTCTTCTCTCAGTCCCTGAAAGAACAACCTTATGTTCTACTTGTTTCTGGAATTCCTTCCCACGCAGAGCACAGATCAACAGAGATGGCTTCTTTTTCCGTTGGTACATGCTCGCTGTCATCATCAGCATGAGTTCCTGACCTCATGGGGCTCACACAAGCTCGATGCTCTATAAATGTTTGATGCATTAGCCTGCACAAGATGGGAATCAAACAAGTGTTTGGTGAAGGAGCGAATGCATGAATGAGCCTCCAGTTTCCCCTCTCTACCTCAATAAAGCACGATTGTGGCTTCATTTCATCTTAATCAGCCTCCCCTTGCATCTCTGCATCATTGCCTCAAAAGCAGAGCAGACCTAAAGCTGCAGGGCCCTCATACCTCCATCCTGCAGTATTTCGTCCCACTCACTCTTTCTCCTCTCTCTTAGGTTTCTCCCACTCCAGCTGTGTACAATATGCCCCTAGTTCATTAAAGATCCATTAATTCTGCCTAATTTCAGGAGAGAAAGAATTGGAGTGAAGCAGAAAAGGTATATTTTAGGCAAAAAAAAAAAAAAATGAAGGAAGAACAGAGATTCAGGGCCACACCAGCCCTGTCGACATCTCAGGAGCCAAGGCACATCCATTGCACATCTGCAGAAATTCAGCAACAGTAAGTCTTCCTAAGAAAAGGCAGAGGCACGGCTCCTTCCAGGGTGTTCTTCCCCAAACCCAGCTTTCTCCCCACAGCTGCCTAAACTGGCCATCTGGGAGAGGGTGCAAGGGTCTGGTAGCATGTTTGAATACAGATCATGCAGGTGGGCTTAGGTGGTATTAAAAAACAATACTTCATGCTGGGCAAGGTGGGTGCATGCCTGTAATCCCAGATACTTGGGAGGCTGGGGCAGAAGGAATCCAAGTTTGAGGACAGCCTAGACAATTTAGTGAGACCCTGTATCCAAAAAAAAAAAAAAAAAAAAACAGGGAAGGTTGGAAATGTAGCCACTGGGTTCAATCCCAGGTACCACAAAAATCAAAACAAAATACTTCAACAAATGAGGTTAAATGATCTAATTGGCTGTGATTAGCAATTCATCTAAATGCACTCTGAGGAGCTGAGTAGGGGAGCTGGGCTTTACAGGCAGAAAGAAAGGGCGGAAGAAAACAGAAACAGGGAACAAGATGGAGAATTGGTCACCTCAAAGTTCCTCTCCTGATAGGGCTAAAACTGAGGCGACTTCCTTAGATGCAAGTAAACTGGTCCCCTCCTGATTGGCCGCTGTGAATTTCTTGGACTTTGAAAAGTCGCCTATTTAAAGTCCAGTGTGATTACACGGCACCTGGCCTGAGGGCCTCCATTCTGGTTTGGGTGGTCCGTTGGGCCTGATGCTGGAGTTCAGTCCAAAACACTGACTTCCTTTAGGATCCACCCAGCAGTGGCGTTTTACCTGTTCCCTCAGTCCTCAGCCCACCCAGTTCCTCAAAACTGCACCCACTCCCCATAAAGCCCTGTGTCCTTCCCTCTGTGTCCCCAGCACCCAGCACCTAAGTAGATGCTCAACCTCCTCCCTGACTCTTAGCTCCCCGGAGCCTGCTGGATGTCTCTCCTTCTTCAGCAACTGTTCTGACTCCTTTCCAGCCCTCCTCCTCTTTCTCTCAACTCCGTTAGCACCCCTTCTTCTTTTTCCTTCTCTACCTCCCCCACGGGGGAGAAGCATGGCCCCATCCTGCCCTCAGAGACAGAGGATGGAATATGTGCAGCTTGGTGCACTCTCCTCCAAATTCTACAGGCCTGAATCTCTGCACCAAGTGGCTCCAGGTTAATGGTCAAGTTCAGGCACTGCACAGTTGTTTGGTCATGGTTAACTCCTGCTCCTTCCCACCCCATCCCTTGCCTTTTCGCAGCCAGCAGTGGAGGTGGGCTACTACTGGTGGGATGCAGGCTCCTCCACAAGGCAGATGGAGCTATTCCTCTGGCCTCTGCAAGCGCAGACTCCACCTGACTCGAGCTTCCCAGAAAGGCCCCAGGGAGGTGGAGTAGCAGCTCTGACTGCCAGCTGCTCTCTTAATTAAGGAATGCGGGGAGTGGCCCCTTTGAACTTACTAGCTAATTTGCTCCAGCGCACTCCCCCCTGTGGCTGGGTAATTAATGTAGTGTGAACTAGTGATTAGCAGTAGTGGGAGAACCAGCCTGCCGCAGACTTAACCCTTCCCTGCATCTGGGCAGAAGCATCGCCTCTCCTCCAGCTGTGGCACTGTTGGCTCAGGTTTTCCCTTTGGATGGGATATTTTAGAGACCTCACTCATCCTCCTTCCCCTCCGTTTCTGCAAAACACCTGTTAAGGAAAGGGGCTCTGGGTGAGGGGAGAAGGGAGGGGACAGGTTAGGGGACCACAATGGACAAACAATTCTGCTAAGAGGGACAATGATTGCCTGCCGTCTCCTTGGAAGGAATTCAGGATCTCGCTCCAAGCTTGCCCCACTCTTGCATCCCTCCCAGTCTCTCCAGAATAATTCCATCCAGTTTGACAGATGCTTGGAAGGCATCCCCTCTTGGAAAGCCTGTCCTTGGAAATAGACAGGCTGCAGAAATAAAGTAACTCAGTCCTGCCTTCATGGAGCTCCCAGTCTGGAAGCAGAGATTCAGAGCAGGGTGCTACCCAGCCTCAAACACACCTTTATCCCATCTGGACGGTTTTCACCTCTCCCATCTCTAGCCATTTTGTAGCAATGACAATGTTTGAGTGCTCACTGTGTATATGCAAGAAGCATTAGAAACCCTTACAGGTGTTCACTGGCAGCACATGCTATAATCAGCCTCCATTCAGCAGATGAGCACCTGGAAGCCAAGAGGTTACTTTGTGCATGATTTTAGAGCCAAGGTTTGATCCCAAGTCTAAACCTAGAGCTTAAGCTATTACTCCCACCCTCCCTCATCCATTTGTACCCTTAAGACACCTGGGACACCAGCCCCTCCACTAAGCCTTCCCAAGCCTCCCACCCAGGCTAGGGCAGGCCTGTGCCCTCTGGCTCCCAGAGCATCCCGTGCACACTTCTAGCATTATTCTTGCCACATTGATTGTAATTATCGGGTTACATATTCCATCTCCTCCTCTAAACTCTGAACTCCTTAAGGGCAGGGACTAAGCCTTTCATCTCTGTGTCCCCAGCACCTGGCACCTAAGTAGATGCTCAATAAATGCCAGATGAATGAATGATAGAATTGACAATAGAGTCATAAATGATTCCCCTCCTTTGGCCTCTATCCTACAGCCAGGCAGCTTCCAATTCTGCCAGGACTCTCCCTCTGCCTCAAACCCAGCTTTCTTTCCACTGCAGACATTTCCTTCCTACTTCAGGCCCTTCTCCTTTACCAGGACCATCATGACAAGCTGTTCCGCAGGCTTCCCTGTCTCTTCTTTCTCTCCCAGCCTGCCCTGTACTCTGTCCTCTCACTGGGAAGTTGCCCCAGCCCAAAACAGACAGTCCCCTGCCTCTAATCAGTGCTTCCCAGAGCATCCCCACAGTCCACTGGCCACACTGTCACCTAGAGAAAAATGCTTGTTAGAACCATAGGTTCCTGGGCCCATCCCCACCCACTGAGCCAGTATCCCTAAGACCCCAAGTATTGAACAAAAGTGAGAACCACTGACCTCCAGAATAACTTAGCCCACTATTCAAGGCCTCTTTAATCTAACCCCTCCCTTTCCATCCTTCCCACTACTGCTAATCACTAGTTCACACCATTCTAAAGTATTCCTCCTGCTGTCCCTTGGTGTCCTTAGAGCCTACAATCCCACTGCCACGTCTTTGCACACTCTACTCTCCATGCTCATGGCCGGCGCCCAACCTTTGGCCTTCCCCTTTTTCTCTTTCTATCTAAATAATGCCCATTTTCAAGGTGTCGTTCGAATTCTGCCTGTTTAAGCAGCATACCCTGTGCTGATGAGTGGAGACCCCTTCCCGCTCCCTTCTGCTGCGCTGGCTTTGTGAATGGCCCATTGGCACAGAGCAGTGCCTCTCTGCCAGCAGGCCTTCGCCTTTCCTGGCATTTCTGTTGCTACATTTTGATTGTGAGAATGTGAAGGGCAGGAATTCTGTCCCACACACTGTAGGCCTCGTTTCTGGCTGACTTCAAAGTATGGTCACAGCCAATGTGAGTGACAGGTCACAGACTAGACAGGACCAGACTACCCAAGGAGCCTCATTCAGGACAATCAGGACCCTTCCCCAGTGGTAACAACTTGGAAAGCCTTCCTTGAGCTGGGTGTAGTGGTGCACACCTGTAATGCCAGCAACTCGAGAAGCCAAGGCATGAGGATCACAAGTTCCAGGCTGACCTGGGCAAATTAGTGAGACCTTGTCTCAAAACAAAACAAAAAAAAAGACTGGAAATGTAGCTCCATGGTGAGGTACCACTGGATTCAATCCCCAGTAGCAAAAAATAAATAAAAATAAAAATTCCCACCTCGACCAGGGTTATCAGAACGCCCTTTGTGTGAATTATAGGGCTTACATAAAACCAAATGAGGACCTGTGTCTAGAATTCATTTGCCCATTGGTCAGATTATAGCCTCCCCTTTCCAGTACTAGAGATAGAACCCAGGGTGCTCTACCACTGAGCTGCATCTCCAGTTGTTCTTATTTTTTATTTCAAGACAGGATGTCACTAAGCTGCCCAGGCTTGCCTTGTGCTTGTGATCCTCCTGCCTCAGTCTCCCAAGTACCCTGGAATTACAGGCATGCACCACTGCATCCAGTTTCATTAGACCTTAAACATCTATAACGCGCCAAGCCCTGAGGGGAGTAAAGAAGTGAATCCAAGATCTTGCTGGTCAAATTGCTCATGAAAACCGGAAAACTGATACAACCGACATGCTAAGGGAAGAGTGGGGTACACATAAGGGCAACGGAGAAGGGGTTCTCCCTGGCCTTGGAGCGTGGCTGGTCTCAGAATCATGCGCAGCCTGCAAGGGTAAGTGGAACAGCATTCTTGGTAGAGGAAAAAATAAGACACATGGAAGTGTGAAAGGAGTGGTTCTGAAAAGAGGTAGTTCTAGCTGGGGTGGCCAGAAAGCAGAGGGGATGTGGGCAGCCAGACTGGAGAAGACAAACAGCCTCTCCATCTAAGCCAACAATTCAGTCTTTATCCTGAGGGTGGCAGAAGTCTAGGAAAGAGAAGAGAAGCAACTTGGTAGAAATTGCAGTTTTGAGGGCTCTCCGTGGGTAGGTTTGGATGCAGGAAATTCTGGTAACAGCAAGCAACACATGAGCTTGTGCAGGGGTGTTTGCCATCGCGCATTAGCCAACCATGTGCACAGGAAAGAGCCTGGTTTACAAGAATCGGCTCCTGAAGACCCAGCGGGGCCGGCAGCCAACTTCCACTTTACTTGGGATGTTTTCACTTTCGGGGCATCTTGTTCTGAGTCAAGATTCCTCCTTCTGAATGTGGGACTTTCCAGAAGGACCGCGGCTCCTTCCATGCATCCACTTGGCCTGGGATGTGCTGGATTTTGGTTGTCGAGGGAGTTCGCCTGCTTCTCCGGAGAAGGATGGCCACGTGCTTCCTATGGAATCTGCTTCTCTGGGAAGGTGAGTGGGACAGGTGGGCTAGAGAAGAGCAAGCACAGCAAGTTCTTGAGCGACATCAAGTGCTAGGCAGAGACAAAGAGATCTGGGTGGGAAGAGGTGGCAGCACTAGGACCATCAGAATCCTGGAGATATGAGCTATTTGTGGCCCAGGACAGTTAGAACTGAGCCAGTTGCACTTCTGGTTTGGAGAGAAAGTTGAATGTGGGAATCTTGAGGCTCTGGCAATGTTAACACATGGGAATTCTATATACCATCTGGAGAGAGATGAAGGCCCGGCAGAACAGGGCTCCTTATAAACTGAGAACTGTATTTCCAGCTCCATGTGGGAAAACTGGGGTCCCTGAGGGCCTGGGCAAGGGGAGGTGGATACTGAGTAGGAGGAAAGGCAAGAAGAGTCAGTTAAATATGGTCCATGTGAACTTGAGGGTGGCCAGCAGTGGTGTGGTATTGGAATGGCTGAGATATGGGTCTCGTCGGGGAGCAATCCCTCCATCAGTCTGATGCCCAAGTTCCCCTCCTTGGTCAACAGGTAGCCAACATGACATTGGTCAGATCCTGCAGGGCCAGGGATGGGAGTCATGGGGTGTGGAAGAGATCAAGTCTCACTGTTAACATCAGAGACTCAGGGACTTTGAGATTTTTTTGTCCAGTATCCCCACCTAAGTTCCTGGCCACAAGGGTTCCAAAGGCCCTGCAGATTCCTTCAACACTTCTAAATATATGGGGGAAATCATATCTTAACCCTCAGAAGAGCCTAACTCTTCAAGGATTCACAAAATTTTCAAGTCAATGAACATGTGAGGACATTGTCCTAGACTTTGGACATGTGGATGTTTTAAAAATAATTTTTGTTTATTTTTGCACATGTTCAGCAGATGCTCTACCACTGAGCTACATCCCCAGACCTTAAATGAATTTTTAAAGGGCTCTCTGTGACAAAAGAGATCAACCCAAATGATCTGGTACAGCCCCCTTGTTTTATAGGCAAGACCACTAACATTTAGGAAAGTTGATATTCTCAGGTCAAACAGCTGATTTATGGCAGAGCAGGACGGAATAGAACCTAGATCTTGATTGACATCCAGTGAAATTCTATCTGTATGTAAAGCCATCTCCAGTAGGGATAGAGGTGTTTGGGGCCAGTAGGCCAGTGAGATGGTTGAAGGACAAGATTTATTGTGGCCAGCAAAGTGAACATCCATAATGCATCTCCTTAACCCAATTCCCATCACTTGGGTACATTCTGCTCTGTACCCCAGGGGCCACAGCTGTGCCACATACAAGATCAGTCTTCAGCAAATTCAGTACAGTTTAACAAGCTTCTGCTATAACCTGGACCAGGTGGGCGTCTCAGGTGCAAAGATGAAAAAAAAAATGATGTTGTCCCAGCCCAGTGGTGCATGCCTCTAAGACCAGCTTGCGATGCTGAAGCAGCTGGGTCACAAGTTCAAGTCCAGCCTGGGCAACTTAGCAAGACGCTGTCTCAAAATAAAATAACATAAAAATGGCTAGGTATGCAGCTCAATGGTAGGGTACCCCTGGGTTAAATCCCCAGTACTTCAAAAAAGATGTTGTTGCCCTTGGAGAACCCATGGTCTGGTGGGCGATGTTGATCAGAAACAGAAAATAATAATAGAAGGACAAGGTTAGTCAGAGTGCTGATCCCTGACCACTGTGCGAAAGGGCAAGTAGCCTGCAGTGAAGTACGGGGAAGGCTGGAAGAGGCAAGGACCTTTCGAGAATGAACAGAAATAAACCAGAGGAGACAGGATCGAATCCTACTGCTGTGCCAGTCATGGGTCAGTTTACAGTAAATTCAGTACAACGTACTGAGCTTCTCCACAGCCTGGTCCTAAACAGGGAGGGCATTGCAAGCACAAAGATGAATAATAATAATAATAATAATAATAATAATAACTACTTTAATTTGTCCCACTTCTCTCCAACCCCATGGGTCTATCTCTCAGTTCAAGTTTCCATCACCACCTTGAATGAATGTCAACAGTCCCAGTCTCACCCTACTGCCAGTGTTGGAGTGACCTTCCTAACCATGTCACTCTGCTGCTTAGAACCTGAGCTCCCTGCCCACCCCCATTGCTCTACAGATAAAGCCCCAATTCTAATGCTGCTTTCAGGACGAGGCTTGCTCAGGCTGCCCTGACAACTCTGCTGTGTCATTTCCTGCTCCCCTGCAGAGAGCCACTTTCAGTTCCCCAGGACACTTGTTCTCTCCCTCCAGCCCCATGAGCACATTCTGCCTATAGCACTTCCCCTTCTTTCTAGACAGCCCTCCTCTTGACCTGGCTGGTTCAGGTTCCTCCTTCAGGTCTCAGTTTACCTATTTCTTCTCTAAGCCCCTCAAGGCTGGGCGAGGGTCCCCGATCACCCTACCAGTGGTTTCCTGGGACACCCATTCTTCCCACCATGGTACTTAGCACAATTTATTTTAATTACTTGCTTGTCTGTCTTCTCTGTGAGCTCCGAGAACACAGGGCTCAGCTTCTCTTCCTGTTCAGGGATACCGGATCCCTGCAGAGTGCACTCTCAGTGGAAGAGAAGGGAATGTGGGTGGGGGGATGCAGCTGCATGCAGGAGTGGGACGAAGAGGATTTGCCAGCAGACTGACCAGGGTCTCTGTTTTTCCAGCTCTTATTCCCATGGCAGTTATCGGTGCTCAAGTGCTGAGCAAGGTGGGGGACTCCGTGCTGCTGGTGGCTGAGCATCCTCCAGGCTTCCAAGTCCGCGAGGCCATCTGGAGATCTCTCTGGCCTTCGGAGGAGCTCCTGGCCACGTTTTTCCGGGGCTCCCTGGAGACTCTGTACCACTCCCGCTTCCTGGGCAGAGCCCAGCTGCACAGCAACCTCAGCCTGGAGCTCGGGCCCCTGCAGTCTAGAGACAGTGGCAATTTCTCTGTGCTGATGGTGGACACAGGAGGTCGGGCCTGGACCCAGACCCTGCAGCTCAAGGTGTATGGTGAGTGTATCTGACACTGACTCCCCGACACCCTTCCTCCCACAAAGCACCAGACAGGCATCCTGAGCTACAGGAGCTGGGGAGAGCTGGGTTCCAGAAACCATGTTGCTAACTCAGAGAACAGCTGTTCCCCAGCTGTCATATCTAAGAGAACTCTCCAATACTCCCAGGTGAGCTCCTCCCTGGAGCGGCTGGGCTTTGCCATCCCACCATCCTTGTCTCAACTCCACCTTTTCTTGGCTCTGCAGGCTTGGACACAATGCTTAGCCTCCCTAACCTGCACCTTTCTTGTTCATAAAGTGAGCATTGTAATATTACCATGTATAACGCCCAAAGGGTGAAATGCAACGGCACTTACAAAAGTATCTAGGACACAGCCTGACCTATCAATTCTAAGATGTCATCATAGATTACAAAATATGCCATTATTTTATGTACCACTAGGAAGGAAAAGAAAGATGTTCTAAACTAAACTATGACACAGTGGGATTTTATTTATAAATTAAGTTCAAATTAGACTAAATACAAAGTGTGGAACAATTTTCTTTTCCTTGTTTTTTTTTTTTTTTGTTTTGAGACAGAGTCTTACCAAGTTTCCCAGACTAACTTCTGACTCAGTCTCTCAAGTCACTGGAATTAAAAGTGTGCACCCCTGTGCCCAGTCAGCCCTACATTCATTTCTTTTATATATACATACATATATATATATATATATATATATATATATATATATATATATACATACATACAT